AAGCTTCCGAGAACAACGAGGATGACGACGACGACGACTACCATGTTGATGACTCGGGGAGCGAACACAGTCCAGAGCCCGTCGATGATTCGCCGTATGATGCCGTTCGCGCTTCTGTCTCTCCCGTAGACAACACGACGCTGTCAATCAACACCCCAAGGATGTGGATTCTTTCTACACTGTTTTCCGTCCTCGGCTCTTCAACAAACCTCTTCTTCTCGCTACGATACCCGAGCGTCTCGATTACACCTGTAATTGCCCTGTTACTAGTACACCCTCTTGGTCTCATGTGGGATTACACGCTCAAGTCTCCCGCCGACCCCCGTGAAGTCTTCGAGGATGGCGTTCTCGACCACATCTTGGACGACCACCCCGAAAGGCGAACACGATGGAGTCGCTTCCGCCTCTGGCTGGCCCAGGGAAGATGGAACGAAAAGGAGCACACGTGTGTCTACGTGAGTAGCAACGTCTCCTTTGGTTTCGCCTTCGCAACAGACGTCATCGTTGAGCAATCGAGATTCTATAACCAGGAGGCTACCATTCCGTATCAGCTGTTGCTCATCCTGTCGACCCAGATTCTGGGCTACGCCTTTGCAGGCATTACGCGCCGCTTTCTGGTTCGTCCTGGCGGCATGATTTGGCCCGGCACGCTCATGTCTGCTGCGATGTTTGGCACTCTCCACAAGGAGGAGAACAAACCGGCCAATGGCTGGCGCATGTCCCGATGGAAATTCTTCTACATTGTGTGGACGGGAGCCTTCGTCTTCTACTTCCTGCCGGGACTTCTCATGCCGTGTCTCAGCTACTTCAACGTCATCACCTGGTTTGCACCGAAGAACGTCGTCATTGCAAACCTGTTCGGGGTGTCGTCTGGACTTGGCCTCTTCCCCCTGACTTTCGATTGGGCGCAGATCTCTTACATTGGCTCTCCGCTCTTGGTACCATTTTGGGCGGCAATGAATGTCATTGGTGGCATGTTCGTCGTCATGTGGTTCGTCGCGCCGATTGCTTACTACGGAAACATGTTTTACTCTTCCTACATGCCAATCTTGTCGTCGGCTGTATTCGACAACACCGGAAACGTCTACAACGTCAGCCGCATCCTGACTGACGAGTTTCTCTTCGACAAGGAGGCCTACACGAACTACAGCCGTGTCTTCCTGCCCATCACCTACGTGCTGAGTTATGGAGTGCAATTCGCAGGTCTAGCTGCGTTGCTCACGCATACGGCCTGCTGGCATGGAAAAGACATGTGGGAGACTTGGAAGACATCTTGGCAGGAGGCGCGGGAGGATGGCAAACCAACCTACCAGCCTGTTTCAAACGAACCCGATTTTGCCGCACCCGACAGCCCAGCAACGCCGGGCCTGTCAAGGGCATCCACAAATTCAGACAGCCATCTCTTCAAGGAGGATGTGCACAGCCGACTGATGAGACGGTACAAAGATGCCCCCATTTCGTGGTACCTTATGACATTCGTTTCCATGTTGGCGATAGGAATATTTGTTGTTGAATAGTACGTACAACGTCATGCAGCGGATTCATTCCACTAACTTTGCTTGCAGCTACCCGATTCACCTGCCATGGTATGGATTGCTACTTGCATTGGGCGTCTGTGCTGTCTTCTTTATTCCCAACGGCATAATCATGGCAGTGACGAACCAGCATAGCAGCATTTATCTCATTTGCCAGCTGATCTGCGGTGCTGTCTTCCCCGGACGACCTATTGCGAACATGGTGTTTGTGACATACGGCTACATCTCCTCAGCGCAGGGCATCAAGTTTGCTTCGGACCTCAAACTCGGCCACTATATGAAGATCCCTCCTCGCATCATGTTCTCCGTTCAGATGGCGGCGACCGTGGTCTCGTCGATCACACAGATCTTTGTGCTCAATTGGATGTTCGCCAACGTTCCCGGCATTTGCACCAAGGATGCGGTCAATGGATTCACCTGCCCGTTCGCTCGTGTTCACTTCAACGGCTCAATCCTATGGGGCGTTGTTGGGCCCGGCGAGTTCTTCGGACCCAACGCGACCTACAGGAGCCTTGTCTGGTTCTTCCTGTTGGGGGCCGTTCTGCCAATTCCGCTCTGGCTATACAGTCGCAACAAGAAGAACAGCATTGTGCGAAAAATAAACCTGCCGCTGGTGTTCGGCACGATGTCCTGGATTCCGCCGGCTACAGGACTCAATTTCTCGGTGTGGGTGCTGGTGTGCTACGTCTTCAACTACCACATCAAACGCCGCGCGAGCGCGTGGTGGGCCAAGTACACCATGACAATGAGCGCGGCGCTCGACTCAGGATTGGCATTCGGTATCGTGATTGTCTTCTTTGGCTTTGTGTACCCGGGCCTGATGAAGGGCTTCAGCTGGTGGGGGACAGAGGTTTACAAGCAGGGCTGCGACTGGCAGGCGTGCCCTTACAAGACGCTGCCCGAGGGCGCGCATTTTGGACCAGACACATGGTAAACTGAATGATGGAACGTAATGACTGATTTAGGCATGGCATTATTAGCGTAGATATGGGGTGCATCGGCGCACAGCTAGTTCAAAGGACTGAGCATGATAGATCTGCTTTGAAGCAGGAATGAATTGGATGGAACGAATAGTACGGGAGGGAATGGCTTGACAGTGGTTCGGGCACAGTGATCAATCGTTACCAAATAACACTGTATTGCTGTGGAAAACTCGGTTCACCTCGACCTTCATTTGGACTGTGTGTGGGTGTCTTGTTCCATTTTAAAGGAATATATAACCAACTCACCGGTTATGCGGCCTTTGGGTGTCAATAGCAAACGCAGTGTTACTAGACTTGACCGGCCATTCATCGATTTGCCCACGCGCACTTGAAGATACAGCAAAATGAGGGTGCTGGAGCTCCTTGAATCGTTTGAGGACGAAGTCCTCGACCCCGAAGAAGGTAACACGAGAAGCAACCGCAATTTTCTCACGACCATGAACATGAAGCCTTGTTCCGGACTTGTGCTAAGGACAGAAAAAATGCACAGAAACCTTTGCCCTCTTCTCCGCCCCCATCCCCTCGGCGAACCTCGGCTTCATCGACCCCCGCGCCGCGGAGCTGGATATCACGCTGCCCCCGAACCGCGACTTCACGATCCACCAGTCGCCGACCCTCCTCGCCTCCTCGCGCGCAGGCGGCACGACGGGCGCCGTCCTCTGGAAGATCACCCCGCTCTTCGCCGCCTTCCTGTCGTCCCCAGACTGTCCGTTTCTGCCGCCGGCACCGACGGGCGCGGCGAGCAGCAGCAGCGACACGGCGGTCCTCGAGCTCGGCTGCGGCATCAGCGCCCTGACGGGCCTCGCCTGCGGGCCCCGCGTGGGCCGCTACGTGCTGACGGACCAGCCGTACGTGGCGCGCCTCGTGCAGCGGAACCTCGACGCCAACGAGAGGGCGAGGGCGCCGGCGCCGGCGCGACGCGGTGCCAAGGGGCGGGCTTCGGCTTCTTCACTGCAGCCGGCGCCGGCGCCGACGGGGCACGACGTCTTCTTCGAGCCGCTCGACTGGGAACTCGACGAGGTGACGCCGGCGCTGACGCGGAGCGACGAGGTGAGGAGCTTTGACCTCGTCGTTGCGTGTGACTGCATCTACAACGATGCGCTTGTCGAGCCGCTCGTGCAGACGTCTGTCGACGCGTGTCTTTTGCGGAGGAGGGATGAGGGCGCGACATCAGGGGAACCTTGCGCTCTGTATTGTTGCGCAGCAGCTGCGGTCGCCCGAGGTGTTTCGAGGCGTGGCTGAAGGCTTTCCATCGGGCGGTTCCGCGTTTTGGCGGGTGCCAGATCAAGTTGTAGGCGAAGGACTGGCCGTCGGGTCCGGGTTCGTGTCCACGTCGGCATCTTACGCGATTGATGCGGTTCAGGTTGCATCACATGGCACCACAAGGAGTGGGCGAGAAAAGCGTGCTCGACGAGTCTTGCGAAAATGATATCTTTGCTATGAATGGCCGCAGTGGCCCCCTACTTTTTTCCAAGTCGTAGTTGTCCAGATTAAGGACGACTGTGATATCCAAACCTGGGTCGCCCTGAATAGGGATCGACCAGGTCATAAATCTCCCGCGATAATAATGCGCCTGGTGCCATCACACCATCGTAAATAGCAATAAAATTCGTCCCATAACGATAAGTTTCGCTCCCCTGCACACCACGCCAGCCTACCACTCGAGGGGCTCCGTCTTCGTCTCGCCACGGTTGGTCTTGGGAACTGGGACTGGCTTCGCCGCAAGCTGGTTACTCCTGCCCTTTCTCTTGAGATAGGCAGTGCCGTCCAACCACGGAGTCTGCTTGGACATTCTCCTCTCGTACTCGCTGATCTTGTCGTCCATCTGCATCGTCAAGCCAATGTCATCAAGGCCATTGACGAGGCAGTGTTTCCTGAACTCCTCGACATCGAAGCTGCAGATCGTAGAGCCAGTCGCGTTCTTGATTAGCTGGTTGGGGAGGTCGATCTCGACGTCCCGGCCGGCGCGGGCTTCGGCGGCAATGGCTTCCAGATCGTCCTTGTTGGACACGATGATGGGCAGCATGCCGTTCTTGAACGTGTTGTTGAAGAAGATATCACTGTACGACGGCGCAATGATGGTCTTGATGCCAAAGTCGAGCAGGGCCCAGGGGGCGTGCTCACGAGAGCTACCGCATCCAAAGTTGGGACCGGTGACAACAAGGATTTTGGCCTGGCGGTAGGGGTCCTGGTTCAGAACAAAGGCGGGGTTCTCAGAACCGTCACCGTTGAATCGCAGCTCGTGAAACAGAGCAGATCCGAGACCGGTACGCTTGATCGTCTTGAGGAACTGCTTGGGGATGATGGCGTCAGTGTCGACGTTGGTCATATCCAGAGGCGCGGCGATACCCTTGAGGGTGGTGAACTTGGGGAGACCTGCGGAGCTGGAAGACACAGACGAATTGACGTGAGGTTGGCTGTCTTCGGGCTGGTCGCCGATTAGGTCCCTCTCTGCGGCACCCTCCTCAACGCGCTCGTCGACGTGGGGCTTAGCAACAGGCGCGATGGCGGCTTGGACATGGGGGCTGGTCTTGTATTCAGACAGTTTCCTCACGTCGGTGAGGGTGCCGACAATGGCGGCAGCAGCGGCCATGACGGGGGACATCAGATGCGTCCTGCCACCGGCACCCTGGCGACCCTCAAAGTTCCTGTTCGAGGTACTGGCACAGCGCTCCTGAGGCGACAGAATATCGGGGTTCATGCCGAGGCACATGGAGCAACCAGCCTCTCTCCACTCGAAACCAGCGTCGGTGAAAATCTTGTCCAAGCCCTCGGCCTCAGCTTGGTCCTTGACGAGACCGGAGCCAGGAACAATCATGGCGCGCTTAATGTTGGCCGCAATCTTTTTGCCCTTGACGACATGTGCGGCGGCGCGCAGATCCTCGATGCGCGAGTTTGTGCACGAGCCAATGAAGACCTTGTCGACAACAATCTGATCCATGGGCGTACCCGCGACGAGTCCCATGTACGCGAGCTTTCTGCGGCCGCCAGCCTTCTTTGCCTCAGTCGCAAACGTCTCGGGGTCGGGGACGGTGCCAGTGATGGGAATGACATCCTCAGGGCTGGTGCCCCAGGTGACGGTAGGAATGATGTCCTTGGCGTCAATGAACACGTCAATGTCGTAAACAGCACCAGCATCCGACTGAAGCGACTTCCAGTACGTGGTGGCGCGCTCCCATTCCTCCGACCCAACCTTGGGGGCCAGGGGGCGGCCCTTGAGGTACTCAAACGTGATCTCGTCGGGGGCGACCATGCCGGCTCGCGCACCACCCTCGATGGACATGTTGCAGATGGACATCCTCGCCTCCATGCTCAGGCTGCGGATGACGGAGCCGCAGAACTCAATGACGGCACCGTTGCCGCCAGCAGTCCCAATCATGCCAATGGCGTGCAGGACGACGTCCTTTGAGCTGACGCCAGGGGCCAGCTCGCCATCAACCTGAATGCGCATGTTCTTACTCCGTCTTGTGATGAGGCACTGGGTGGCCAGAACGTGCTCGACCTCGCTGGTGCCGATGCCGAAGGCGAGAGCGCCGAAAGCGCCATGGGTGGAAGTGTGGCTGTCGCCGCAGACGACGGTGGTACCGGGAAGGGTGAAGCCCTGCTCAGGGCCGATGACGTGAACGATACCCTGGCGCTTGTCGCCGAGACCAAAATAGGTGAGGCCGAAGTCCTTAACATTCTCCTCGAGAGTCATGCACTGGAGTCTGGAGTCATCCTCGTCGATGAAGGAACCGATATCCTTCATGGACGCGCGGGACGTCGTGGGGACATTCTGCCAAGCCGGTTTGTTAGTGCCTTGAAATTCTCCGACGGAGCCGCAGCGCCAGCGCAGCAGGATGCCGACTTACGTGGTCAGTGGTCGCAAGAGTGCAATCGGGTCGTCGGACTTGGCGGCCAGCGTTTTTCAGGCCCTCGAAGGCTTGCTGCGGCATAGGGTTAGTGGGTCTGGGCGACACGACGTCATCGGGGTTGACGATTTCGCAGCCAGGGGTGGGCTTACGGGTGAGGTGACTTCGTGAACGAGGTGGCGATCTGGTAAAGGGCGTCAGTCGAATGCGCACCAAAGAGTGGAAACGAGCCCAAGAGAAGGGCAAGGCGGAGGAACGTACCAATGTAGAGGAGGAGGGTGCCGTTCAGCTTCTCGTCCACAACGTGGGCCTGGAGGACCTTGTCGTAGAGGGTTTGCGGTGAACCTTCAGCGACGGGCATGTTTGTTGTTTGGGAGGAATCGTCCTCAAGGAAATATGGATAGGGGGTTTTTTTTGGGGAGGGGGCAATTGATGAATGAAGCTCTGACCGATGATTGAGAGAGGAGGTGGTAGCGGGACCGAATGTCCAGGTCTGGGTGCGACTAGGAGGAGGGGTGTTTGGTTGATGAAAAGGGGAAAGAGGGAAGGGAGGGGAAGAGTGGTGGGAGGGGAGGAAAGGGGACAATCGGCAAGCGGAAGAGGAGGGAAGGTGAAATGGATGGGAGGAAGCTTTGGATGGAATATATTGCCCGACTGGTGCAAGCGCGGGGGGGATGCCTGTTATGTAGTAGCACTGAGTGAGGGCAGTCAAGTGCTGGAGCTATTTTGGGGCGAGGAATGAATGAGGTGCTTCGGGGTGTCTGGGACGATATCGCCTGTTCCAGCTGGATCTGCAGTCACAAATCGTTCCTGAAAAAGGCAGGCACAAAATGCAAAATCCCCGTCCCTCAGGCCCCCCAAATGGATCCGGCCCCTCCATTGCCCATGACATCGAGACAAATTCCGTTGGTGAGGAAGCCCTCGTCGACGAGGGGTCCGATGCTCGGAGTCGATGGTTTCGAGCCAGGGCGCTCCGCGATCGGAACGCGGGGTACTGGCCGGATTTGCAAATCACTGCCGCTAATTGGCCTTGCGCGCCCACTGCGGGGCTCGCCCCCCCGGCGGATTCCCTCACCTCGGTCACCGCCTAGCGGCGGCATCTATTCTGAAGCCTGCGCCTCACTCATCATACATGGTCGAGATGCAGATCCGGTCTTCGGGCTCAACATGGGGCGTCCGGTTTCCAGCCAGGGCTGCCAGGGTCCTGCAAAGGTACCAGCTAGTTGTTTACTACAGCTCCACCGTCGTTGTGTATCATGACGAGCAGCGAATGACAACCTGCTGATCCATCATCACCTGCGTTCGCACCATGCAGCGTAGCATTCGGTAGATATCGTCGCCCGTGTCGTTTGAGAGCAGAGGGCGAGAAGGGGGACAGCGAGGCAGGTACTTATCTGGAGGGGGGGTCATGCAGACGGACACGGAAGGGACATCCGACTCGACGACGTACAATTGTGTGAATCTCTCATCGGCGCCGTCTCCGGCGTCGGAGCCCCGGCTCCCTACCGCTCCGCTGGTCCCACCCCGATCGGCCTGGGCCTCACTTTGAATTTGCCCAGGCCTAACGACTGTGACAAAATGACTTGCCCGTTGGGATATGGGCCTTGGAAACAAGTGGGACAGCAACACCACCAGAGGGCTTGGGCACGGCATCCATAGCTACGTTTGTTGAGTCATAATACCACATCGGCGCTCGCCGCCCCTGCTTTGCAGGGACAGCCATTGAAGGGATACGTATCCAGGCAAGCCAGGTTGCGAGGCGGAAGACGAGGAGTGCTCGTCAGCTCAGGTAGCTGGGAGCTAGGAGCTGAACATGGGGTGTGCCAGCCAGCTGCACAATGTGTCCATATGTCTGGCTGCAGATCATCGCGCCCATCGACTCGGCCGAGAAGCTGACTGGACTGATGCGACTCCCTCGACCTGCCCGCCCGCCTTATCTGCCAAGAGGTGCCGTACAGGCTTGTGGAGAGGTCAGCTCAGTTCCGGGGTAGCTCACCCACCCCCCCTGTCCCTCGTGCCGCGCCGTGCTGACGTCTGACAGCCTTCAACCAGCTGGCCGGTCTCGGAACAGCAGCCACGTCTTGTGCAATCGCGACTGGGTCCCATTCGGTATTGACTTGACGCGTGTGTGGGAGGCTATGATCATCGAGGCCATGAGGCCATTGTCCGGCACTGTGCCCCGGTACCTGGCTGGCTTTCGTCTCTCGGCAGCATCCAGCATGTCAGCACGGTATCACGGCATTCGTTTTGGAGATTTCCCTTTGACTCTATCTGGTTACTGACGACCGAATCACCACAAAGTCTATATTTATTTGTGTCCATCCAGCAGCTTCAATAGTTATCGAGTTTCCCAACCATCGTCTGTCTCGTTCATAGGCAATTGGTTCATGAGGCTACTTCTAGCTTTACCCCTGAAGAAGCAGTTCGGCCCCGCATCTGCAAGCCACCAGCCTTTCTCCAAGTGGAGGCCCCCGAACGAGCTCTGCTTGTCCACTAGCCGCTATCAAAAACTCATGAGGTTGGAAATTGGGGACTCTTCTACTACGTTTTCTACGATGCATGGATCATAGGTCGAATTCCCTTCGAGAGGGTGAGGCCAAGTAGCACTCTTGCTCCAATCAGCCTACCACTGACTCCAAGTTTTGGTAATCAGGGATAGTAAGGCCATGTCACTACGGGATAGCCGGGCTCAAATCCTGTCCGAAGGTCTTCCGTTGTGCTTGCAGTGGCCAAGCATGGCAACTTGAATTGAAGGCATATGTTGTCCTCGTTTGCTCTTTGGGATGCACAGATGTATCAACAAACATGGGACCAGTAGCTAGCATGAGCAACGGGCAGCGCCCGAGACCGGAAGTTGGACAGCAGATACAGGCAGTCGTTGACATCCCAAAGCATTTCCACTACGGGTGTCTAGGGTTGCGGCAGGCTAATCGTTTGGTGGCGCTTAACCTTTCGCCATCATACACAGACAGAGCCCAAAGAGGGTTTGTCGACAAAGGTAACAATTTCCAAAGTTATTTTCCAATTTATACAGCCTAAGCATATCATCTACGGAAAGACACCCGATGTCGGCGCTTTCTCTCAACCACCTCCTTCACGTCCGTCTGCGTGGCTGTCGAGACGTAGACAGCGCCAGACTTCATCGATTCGCAACACTCGGCGAACGGGCTGACATAGTCTCGCGAGTAAGTGTTGCGGTGCAGCGGTCCCTTGAGCTCTGCAATATACTCGGTGTCCACGCGGGAGGGTAGCACATCCTCCTCCTGTCGAAGCCAGTAGTGGTGGTGATGTGTGTGAAGACATACGCGAGAGTCACTTTTTATCGCTTCCCTCACAGGCGCCAACTCCTCCTCCCCTTGACTCTGCAGGCTGGGTTGAGGACATTCATGCGACGACAGTTGTAAAGGAAGCGAGAGCTGTCTTGATCTTCGAAAGTCTGAAGGAATGACAGTTTGATGTGTGTCCACAAAACTGA